GGAGGAGGGATGGAGGAGGCTGAGAGTGCGTTTGGTGATGCCTCTGCTGCCCCTCCCTCATCTCCCCGCCAATCTACCCCCCCTTCCGCCCCTTCCGCCCCTTCCGCCCCTTCCGCCCCTTCCGCCCCTTCCGCCCCTTCCGCCCCTTCCGCCCCCTCCACCTCTGCTCTGTCCGCCACCGCTCTATCCCCAGTGGTTGCATCCTTTGATTCCTCCTTTCCTGCGTCTCATCCTCTCTCTCTCACCCCTGCAAAACCACTCTCTCTCACCCCTGCAATCCCAGTCTCGAGTAACAGTCCTGCCCACCGCCGCTCCTCTTCTCTCATCTCCCTCCCGGCCCCCACCATCACAGTCATGGACCCCATTGTACCTCACCCCACCGCGCCTCACCCAACCGCCCCTCGCCCCACCGCCCCTCGCCCCAACGGCCGTCAGCCTACTCAGATTGGAAAAGCGAAATCAGCTTCAGATGCAGACATCTCAAGGCGAGATGCTGCTGCTGTTGCACCAACCCCTCCTGCCCTGCACAAGAAAGCCCTTGGGAGCGAGTCGGGGGCAGGAGACAACCCACGGTCCAAGGAAGAACAAGGCTGGTTGGAGGGAGAGGAGGGACAGGAGGGCACGAGGGGCGAGAGGTGGGGGTGGTTGGGTGGTGAGCACAAGGGGCGAGAGAGGGAGCGGGAGGTGATGCCCATGTGGCAGCAGTTTCAGGAGACGAAGGTGGGGGGTGGGGTGACAGTTGCGGCGCCTCAAAAGGTGACAGTTGCGGCGCCTCAAAAGGTGACTGTTGAGGCGCCTCGCGAGCAGAAGGGCGGAGAGGGAGAGCGGGAGGAGGCGGTATCCCTGTGGGAGAAGTTTCAGAAGATGAAGGTGGGGGGAGGCGTGTCCGGTGGGGAAGCACGAGAGGCAGTGGAGGCGAGCAGAGAATTACAAAGGGATGTAGAGAAGCGGGGAGAAGCAGCGAGAGCGGGAGGTGCAGAGGGAAAACAGCTGGAAGGTGGGAAAGAGGTGGGAGCAGTGCTGCAGCCAAGCAGTGTGAGAGGTGTGATGGGAAATCATGGAGCCACAGCAGCAGCAAGGCCGAACAACGGCACATTGGGGCCGGAGCAGGAGGGAGGAGCAGCAGTGCGAGCAGCAGAAGGGGTGGAGATGGGGGAGTTGGAGGATTTGCTGGGTCCTCCAAGCATTGTGGTGCCGCAGAGAAGGATTCTCAAACACTTCGTGCCGCTGCCCGATGCTGCTGCTGCTGCTGCTGCTGCCCCGCCAAACGCATCTGTAGCACCACCACCTGCTTCTACCCCTCCTGCTGCTGCCACTGCCACTGCTACTACTCAGCATTCTGCCCCCCGCTTTTCTGCTTCCACCGCTTCTGCCTCGGAATCCTCGCATTCGCAACCCTTCAACTTCGTCTCTCCTCCCTCCTTCCTGCCTCCCCGTTCCCCTGCTTTCTCCATCCATCCACAAACCACCATAGGTCCCACTGCTTCGCTCTCACTCTCTCACTCGTCCTCATCCCCATCTTCCCCTTTCCCACCTTTCCCTAATCCCCCCACCAAGCGCTCTGTCTCTCTGACTGCTGCTGCCTCCTCTCACCCCTCTCCTCCTTTCCCTGGCTCCTCCCTTCCTCCCTCTCCTCAGCAGCCCTGGGCTGCTACTGTCCCCACTCACCCATCACTCTCTCACTCACCTCAACAGACAATGATTTCTGAGTCGACTAAAAAATCATCTGCTGCTGCCGCCACTGGCCCTTCGTTTCTTGACTCGCCTCAGCAGGTTGAGACGCTCCTTCTGAAAACGGCTGCTGAGGCCACTCTGCCCTTCCCACCACCAATAGATCCAACAGCACCATCAGCACCGTCAGCACCATCAGCTCCTCCCCTTCTGGCAGCAGGAGCAAGTCCACCAGTTGCCATTTCACAACCATCTTTCAACCCGTCTCCGCCTCCCGCTTTCACCTCGCCACCACACTCCACCGCTCCATTGTTTGCATCAGCTGCCCCCACTGCCCCCATCCCAGCTCCACAGCCCTCTGCCTTATCTCCCGCTTCACATCTCCCTTTCACACCTCCTACGGTCCCTCACCTCTTCTCTCCTACAGCTCCTCCCCCTTCACTGCCCCCTGTTATTCCATCCCTCCCTTCAGTATCCCCTCCCCCACCAGTTCCCCTGCAAGCTACTCTCCTTCAATCGACCCCCCTGCAATCCACTCTCCTGCAGTCTGCTTCCCCTCAAGCTGTAACCAGAAGCCCAGAAACACACAGCAGCGCGCTTGCATGCAGCAGCACTGGTGACTCGGTGAGTGAGGGACCTGGTGGGAGCGGGAAGGAGAGGACGATTGGTAAGGGTGAAGAGGAGAGCGAACAGCAGCAGTACTACCAGCAGAGCAGGCAGAGGAGGAGGCGGAGGAACAGGCAATTGTCTGTTTCACCCATACGAGAGAGCAGTGGTGGAATATCTGAGCAGACTCAACAGCAGCAGAATTCTCAGTGGCAGAACCAGCAGCAGCAGCAGCAGCAGCAAGTTCAGTGGGAGAAGATGCAGCAGTTGCAGCAGGCGTGGCTTCAACAGCAGGCAGCCGTGATGCAACAGTGGATGGCACAGCAGCAGCAGATGATGCACCTGCTGCTGCACGCGCAATTGCACCCACAGCAGTCGCAGCAGCAGCAGCGGCAGCAGCTGGCGGAGTCGAGAAGGCAGCAGGTGGAGCAGCCAGAATTGCAATCGGTGCAGCAAACAGCGGAAGTTCAGGCTGCAGGGCAGATGGGGAGAGGAGGGAAGCAGGCGGATGCAGTGAAGGGGGCTGTGGGCTCAGAGACAAAACCAGTTCAAGAGGCGACGTCTGAGCCTGTGCTGCAGATGATGCAGGTGTGGTCACATCAGCAACAGGCCCTGCAGCAGCAGCTTGAGCAACTGTCGAAGCAGCCTCTGCAGGAGCCACAGTTGTTACAGCCGCTGCCGCATCAGCAGGAGGTTCCAACGAAGCATCCAAAGAAGCAACAGCATAAGCAGCAGCAGGAGCAGCTAACTCAGCAGCACAGGCAGCAGCTACAGCAGCAGCAGCAGCATCTAGACCAGCAGCAAGTGGAGCAGACGCCAGTTGGACATGACGAACAGCAGGAAATGGAAGTTCGCGTATCCAGCGCCAGAGAGTCAAAGGCATCAGCTGCACCAATTAATGACCAGGCGCAGACAGCAGGAGCAGGTCCCGAGGTTCCGGTCATGTCTTCTGTACACTCACATGGTAGCGATACAGACAAGAGAGCCTCACATGGTAGTGATGCAGACAAGAGAGCCCTCGTGAAGGTTTTGTCAAACAATGAGGTAAAGTCACCTAGGAATCTCTGGAGACGGTTCAAGCAGCAAAGGGGCCAGATCCAGAGGCATGAACAGGAGGAGGCTCAACATGTGGAAGCATCGTCTTCCTCCGCTGGCCGTGAAATGTCGTCGCAGACTTCGCTTCCAGACATCAGTTACAACGAGCGAATCGTTTCAGCTTCTGTGGAAGAGGAGATTTTTGAGAAACCATCTTTCCCTCCATTGTTCAACGTGGCACGGGACTCTGATGGTGGTACGACTGCCTTCCTGGACATCGGGACCACTGCCAGTATTAACGGCAGTGGTTAACATACTGACTATATATATTTGATTGTTTCTGTACAGGAATTTGCCAACCCTGCTGCCATGCATATGGTGCGCACTTTGCCCAATGCATGCTTACACGAGAAGCTTACCATTGTCAGCTTGCAACTGCTCAAATGCATACTAACCTTCAAAAGGTAATGCTTCATAATGCAATGCCTTCCCAGCGGTTTGAGCAACCAACTACACAAATCCATTGGTTAGTATGTCTTACATACGGTATGTGCTATCAGACCCGACAAAAACACTTGCACCCAGAGAACCAGATTGTTGCCTAAGACACAAGCCAACCACTAACCCTTCACTTTCTTTGCCTTCCCGCAGAGCACCAACTTGTTGCTCTCAACCCTAAAGTACCTGCCAAAACTCTTGTATGCACCTTCAATCCTGGCACGTGCCGTGGCGAGAGGCAATGGCCCTGGCATCGTTGAATACACGAAGCTGTAGCGCCAGAGGCGACCTGACTTGTCACTCGTGACGTTCTTCCACTGTACGCCGCTTCCGGCTGCTACGTCATCGGTGCAGGAAAATCCCTCCTTTGTGATAGGTTCCTTTCCTCCGGATTTGATGTTCAAGACAGAAAAAGAATACTCGGAATAGTATACCGACGATGAGTACCTGCAAAACAGGGCTCGGAAGGAAATGGCAGCGAGGCAGAGAGGAGGGGTGGAGGTGGGGAGGTGGGAGGAAGGGGGGGAAGAGAGGAGGGAGGTGTCGGTCGGGGCGAAGGGGGAAAGTGGGTGGGGATTGGGGCTACTTCGGCACAGCCGGGAGCTTGAATCAGTCCTAGGTGATTGCATGGAATAGCACCAGCAGATAGGAATCGCACAGCGACGCACCTGATCACCTTAGCGACATATTTCCCTGATGCAAGCTTGTCTCCGACCAGCTTCCCTTTGAGCTTAGTAGGCCGCAAATGTGCCACGTACTTAACTAGCCAAGGGACCGGCAGGGATCAAGGGGCACATGCGAAAAGAAGTGGAAGGACAACAGTTAGGTAGGGACTAGCATCGCGTCGCGTGGGTTGAAATTAAGCATGGGTGAAGTAAAGCATGGGTGAAGTTAATGAAGTGAACTACTAGCGGCAAGAAGCCAAGAGCGCCGCTGCGGGTGGAACACTTACGCACGGTCTTCCCTTTCCACACCGAGGGCTTGGCCTGCGCGGCGGACGGCGCGGCTGAAGCACTGCCGCCGTGGGGTACCAGGGATGGCGGAATGATTGGGGCGGCAGACGCGGCGGCGGACGCGGCGGGAGACGCGGCAGCAATGAAGAACGCCGCACCTGACGGACGAAGCAGCGCACGAAGGAGCATAAGATCCGGCAAATGAGGGGGTGGGGGAGATGAGAAGAACTGAGAGAAATGGCAAAGCCGCGCAAGCGCGGTTGGGTTGGATTCATGAAACAAGTGGCAGCGGCGGGGTGGCATTGGCGATCGATGAGTCATGAGTCGATCGGTGATGACCACGGGTAGTAGGAGCAAAGCGCAGGAGAAGACGAGACGAGCAGAGGTGCTTACAGAGCAGGACGAAGACGAGACGTGCCGAGCGGCGCTCCATGTTGGTGGCAGAGGAGGGGCGAACTTGGCAATTCTAAAAGTCTCGGAAATATATCAGGTGCCCGTGATGCAATACAGAAGCTTGCAGCTATCTACCCGTCCTTGATAGCTTCGGCGTGGCAGACTAGATTGGCGAGGCAAATCAGCGTCGTCACGAGATTGAGAAAGAGGAAGGAGCGCGGCGGGGGAAGGAGCGCGGCGGGGGAAGGAGCCTGGGAGGGACGCACGCCCCGCTGGCCCACCGTGGATAGATTTGATCGCGGTGCGCGTTTCTCCCCTCCAACGTAAACTGTGCCACAGTGGCTGAAGCTGTGCTGGAAGTACACGTGGCGCCTGCGTCAGCTCTCGTCGCGACGCGTTGCCCCGCGGGAGCGCTACTACTGTAAGCGACAAGAGCTCGCGCGGAAGGGGTGCCACCGCCAGCGTACCGGCGCTACGCGACGAACTAATGGGGAAGGGCGCCAGAGCTGACGTGGAAGGTGCGCCATTGCCAGCGGGTACCTGCGCTACGCGACGAACTGATGGGGAAGGGAAGGGCGCAAGTGCTAATGTGGTAGGGGCGCTAGAGCTAATGTGGTAGGGGCGCTAGAGCTAATGTGGTAGGTCTATCATCATGTACCATGAGGGGTAGGGCATGTCCCCCAGCCTGAACACTTTCGGCTCGTGTTTCAATGCCATCCACAGCAGTGAGGCGTACTAATCGCTCTGGACCGCATGCCATCGTATTCAACCACAAAATCTGACCTGCCCCCTGAGGTTCCTCACAGGAGTGTGTCAAGGGAGCTCATACTCAATAGGGAAAAATCAAACTGAATGACAGCCACAGTACACGCCCTGATTTTATGAAACTGATGAATCCATTATTTGTCAAAACATAAATAAGATCTTTGGAGCCGCTTCAAGCAGCACAGTAGCCATATTCAAAGGCATCACCAGGAGGAGGCTCTACATGTGGAAGCATATTCTTCCAAGAGCATTGCTAGGCATGAATTGTTCTTGCAAGCTCCATATCCATATTCGTGACATCAGTCTCTAAGAGCGTAAGGGAAGACTCTTGAGCATCCATCGTACCCTTTATTGTTCATCGTTTTCTGTATATCGGAGATTTTTCGAGAGAACTGTTGCTTCTCCGAAGCCCATATGCTCAAACCTCACCGCCACGCAAGCCTTCCGCTTCCAGGCACAGCTTCGTTCCGCGCGTGCACGGACCGAGGCGGGCGGGATGCGGTGAGCCCCACATTGGGGTGTATTATCCGCGCCCCCGCAACCTACCAATCCCTTCGCTTCGGCAGCTTGCGCTGCTTTCATGCCATCGAGCCTTTCACTTGCCCACTCCCGTGACGGGAAATCCTTTTTACCTGGCCTTCCTGGAAAATTGCCTTGGGGTTGCCTATGAGGGGAATTTTCTTGGCCACACTTGTGCTTTTCCGGCTTCCAGGCAGAATTTTGGGAATTCCTTCTCCTGAAAGGCCGACTTTAGTTCTGACACATCAGTAGGCGATCATTATCGGTAGTTTTCCCGCTTCGCGTCGCTACCATTCGAATGCGTCATCGATAGTAGACCGCCAGGGCTTGGCAATGCAACCGAGCGAGCATGATTGGTGGCGGGACTGCTTCACACGTGGCAATTCTGGCATTTGTTTCCGAGTCATGTTTATAATCTTCCTGCTTCTTTTCGCCTCCAGCCGCATTGCGAATTCGAGCAGCCTCAAAGAATCTCCCAATAAAGAACCTAACGAGTCAGCCTATATTGCCAGTCCCAATCTTAGTTCTGAGGAAGCGGTGCCGTTTGTCGATTCTAAGGACACACGCGGAATAACCGCTGATCTGGCCACGTCAGATGGACCTGTCGGCACCATTGTTCCCTCGCAGTCAACACTTCTTCCGAGGTCCGACGCTTTCCACCAACACCTGATGATAAAATTCAATTAGCACATCTCATAACAGTTTTCATTAATCCTGAGGTCCGACGCTTTCCACCAGAAGCACCTGGCTGCTTCTCGTAATTCGCTCATTTCTCGTAAACTGCTGCAACGTCGACAGCAGTCATCACTCAGTTTTTGCTTCTTGGAATCAGTCTCTTCTCACCCCCTTACCCAATCTAATCCGTCTAACCCTAATCGTATCCCTATCAATCTTCGACTCACAGGCCCAAGCCCAATTTTTTTCCATGCTGTTTCTTTCCGATTTCTCTCCTCCTGACCCATTCCAGACCATCCTCCTCGTCGAATGTTCTAATCACGCTATTAGACGGCTCAATAAGAGCCGTAGACTCGCGAACCGGCGAGGTGAAATGGACCTTCGCGTCCGGTCAGCCGCTCGTCTCCGCCGCAGGTCCAGCGCAGGGAGCGGGGGCGGAAGGGGGGATCGCGGAAGGGAGGCTGGCGGAAGGTGCAGGGAGGAGGGGAGCGGAAGAGAGTGAGCGGGGGGGGAGGGCTAGGCATGGGACGGCGGAAAGATGGGGCGGGGGAAATGAGATGGACTGGGACTATGAGGAGGATGAGGATGAGGAGGAGGATGGGGAGTGGGGATGGGGGGGAGTGAGGAGCAGAAGGGAGAATGGTGCGCGTGGCGGTGGGGGTGGCGGGAGTGGCGTTAGTGGGAAGAGTGACGGGAAGGGAGAGGTGGGAAAGGGAAGGGGGAGAGGGGGGGGAAAGGAGATGGTTATTCCGGGGGTGAATGGGCGCCTGTACTCATACCGAGAAGGGCTCGGCTTGCAGGTACGCGGATTCCTTATGCAGAAAAAATGTAGAGAAATGTACATGCAAGGAGAGAACCTCTATGTGCGTGGACGGACTGTGTAGATTCGTTTGATGTGCGGCAAGTGGGTATGCGTGGAGGAGGTGGGGGCGTGGGGGTCGTGTAGGCGAGTCAAGAATAGGTAGGAAGTTGTCTTGTCAGGCACCCCCACGGACATTGTCTTGCTTCCCTTCATGCCTGTTGTGTCACGTCACCGTTCTCATCCCCTTATTCTACCCCCCACCATGGGAATTGTCTCCCACCCTCCCTTCCCTACACAACGTCCCCTTCTCCCCTCCCGCCCGCCTTCCACCCGTTTCCGCGTCTTACCTACCTCCCACAAAGTCCTGCCAACAACCAACCCTCTCTTCCCCCTAATCTCCTCCCCCCCCAGGAGCTACCCATAACAGCCAAAGAGCTCGTGTCCGCCTCCCCTTCAGTCACCCGCGACGGCGCCACCGTGATCGTTGGATCACAGAAATCAACGGCCTTCCTGCTCGACCCAGTCACAGGCGCCGTGCTGCGCTCTTTCGACCCGCTCGCTCCTCCGGGCGGCGGCTTGTCCTTTTCTGCGACTAGTAATGATGGGAACGAGCAGATGGACGGCCCACTGGCGGAGTGCCTCAAGATGGCAGAAGAGGAGAGCGGCGAAGTCGTGGGGATAGATGGAGGAGCTGGGTTCCTGGAAGGTTCTAGGAGCAGTGAAAGGGAGGGAGCAGAAGGCTTACCACAGCAGCAGCAGCAGCAGAAGAAGAAGAGGGAGTGTGATCGCCTGCTTGCGTCGTCCCTGCTGGTGCTCCGAACCGACTATGTGGTTCGGGCGGTGGAGCTCAGGTCCGGCAAGCAGCGGTGGAACGTCAGCTTCGGCGAGCTGAGCCCCGTGAATGGAGCTCTGCTGGGATTAGCGGGAGGCGTGGGGGGAGGCGTGGGGGGCGGAGCACCGATTGGGGGAGTCTTGGGGGGAGCGCTGGGGGCAGCAAGGGGAAGTGGAGGGGGGAGATCAGGGATTGATCTCACAGGTAGAGGCGTCTTTGATGGTCATGGGGGGGGGATAGATAACGCTGCTGCTTCTTCTTTGGCAGTGGCTAAACGACAGCTCTTGCCATCCAGCGTTTCTGGAGAAGATACGGAGCCAGATATTGATCTGGGTATTGGGGTGGGGGGACAAGGTCAGGGAGATAGGGACGATGTCGGAGGTTCAGGGTTGGCAGGATTCAACGCAGGGTTAACCGCTGCAGCTACCACGAGTATAGACCCATCAGAAGAGGGCAACTCTGACATCTACTCAATCCAGCTGACCAACTCGGAAACAGGGAAGAAGGCATGGCAGACTACTTTTTCGTCTGCCCCGCTCGCAGCGTTCACGCCCTCGGGCAGGCTGGTGCAGGAATTCGTGTCGCGCGATTCGTCCAAGGACACGGGGCCCGGGCAGGTGCTGTATGTGGGGCGCGTGGCAGGCAGCCCATTCGCCCTCGTCACTCCCAGCGCCGCTGACGCACCCAACACTGCCCTCCCCCTCCTCCCAGCCTCGCCCCACTCCCCCTCTGACGGCCGGCATGTGGGTATGGCTGCAGGCTTGTCGGGTGGTGCAGGGATGGGTGGTGGTGCGGTGGCGGGTAGGACAGGCAAATTCACCGTGACTGAGCCGCCTAGGATTGCAGGGACACGAGGTGCTGCTGGGGAAGCTGGTGATGGGAATGGTGGTGGTGGTGGTGGTAGGGGTAGGGGTAGGGATAGGGGTAGAGGTAGGCTAACTGCTTCTGGTGCTAGTGCTGGTGGTGGTGGCAGTGGGGACGATTCGCTGTACCCGATAGTGGTGAGGGCGCCGGGGGCAGCCGCTGCTCTTTATGACGCCATGGGGTGCGCTGATAGCCCTGCTGTGCATGGGGGCGCTGACTTGGCGGGGGCTGAACATGGAGTGCAAAGTCCCTGGAACGATGACCGTCAGGGACGTTCAGGAAATGTAGAGCAGAGGCAGCAGGGTTACAACAAGCAGCAGCAACAGCAGCAGCACTACAGCATGCAGCAGCAGAGAGCGCCAAGCCCAGGGGCAGCAGAGATTGACAGGAGCAGCAGCGCGAATGGGGAGTACTCGGACTCGCTGGGGTGGGCCGGCATGATCAGTCTGTGGGGTCGCGGCATTGGCGCCAGTGACACTAACGGGGTTGCTAGTAACGCGGATATGGAGTTTGGTGGGGGCAGAGGGGAGAAGAACCGCCGTCTGGGTCCCCCTAAAGACATGGAGCCTGCTGTGGGACCCCAGGCCCCGCCTACTCCGCCGAACCTCTTGTCCTCGTTCGGGATCCTGGCTGCCGCAGCTGCGACCCTGGCTGGGATAGTTGCCGGCGCTTCGGTATTCTCTTACTCCTCCTCAGCCCCAACCTCCTCCTCCTCTGCTGCAGCCGCATCGGGTCGCACCACTCCTGCAAGGAAGCATCGGCAGGGTTCCTCCTCTCACCCTCCCAGGCATGCGTCGCACATGAACGGTGCGCCCAGTGGCAGGGGGACGTATCGAGGAGGGGCTACTAACGAGGATGGGCTGTCGTGGGTGGCACGGGGATTGGTGGCGCTGCTGCCTGCTTCATGGCGAGATTGGGCGGTTGAGCACTTGGGTGGGGGTGGCAGTGGCAGTAGCAGTAGCAACAGGAAACGAGGCAAGCAGGGGGCTGGTCGGAGGAACAAGCTTTTGGAAGAAGCAGCAGGCGGTGAAGCAGTAGCAGGGGGAGGGGAAGGAGGGCCACAGGGTGAACAGCAGGACGACACGGCCAATGGGATCGTGCCATCTGGACATGACGGCTCAGGGGATGCAGGCAGGGAGGATTCGGGGCAGGGCGAATCTGGGGGAGGGAGGCTGAGCAGATTGCTGGGTAGTGTGGGGAAGCTGGGCAGTGGCAGCAGGCAGAACAGCGCAGGGAAACTGATTACCCGGCGAGGCAGCCGCGACAACGAAGGGCAAGGAGAGGGGCCGGGCGCGGGTGTAGGTGGTGCTGATACTGGCACAGCAGGCGATGAGGAGAGCGAGGAGGACGGGGAGGAACGCGAGGAGGGGCGGTGGGTGGGGCGGCTGTTTGTCTCCAGGCGGGTGATCGGCCACGGGAGTCACGGCACGCTGGTGCTGGAGGGGCGGCTGGAGGGGCGGCAGGTGGCCGTGAAGCGGCTGCTGTCGCAGTTCTACGAGCGTGCGAGGCAGGAGATTTCTGCGCTGATTGCCACGGATGAGCACCCGAACGTGGTGCGGTGCTTTGCAATGGAGGAGGATGACTCGTTTGTGTATGTGGCGCTGGAGCGGTGTGCGTTTAACCTCGCTGATCTCGTGCTCGCGTGCCGGGCTAGCCTCGCTGCAGCTATGGCACCACCTGCTGTCGGTGCTGCTGGTGCTGCATCTGGTGGTGTCGGTGCGTCTGGTGCAGCTGGTGCTCATGTGGCTGCTGGTGCAGCCGCTGGTGGTGCTGCTGCTCCTGGGCCTTCCTCCTCCTCCAACAAGCCTCCCACCAGCCCCTTCCATACCTCCTCCACATCCACCACCACCTCCTCCTCCTCTTCTCTCTCCTCCTCTTCCTCGCTACCTCCCTCCGACCCCCCTCTCCACCTCAAACCCCCTTCTCTCTCCCTCCGCCTCTCCCCATCCTCCTCCGCCGAGCGTGAAATCATATCAGCAGCACTGGAGCGGGTACAGGCGTACTGCTCCTCACACGGCGTGGGAATGCAAGGGCTATGCCTGTGGGACGACAAAGGCCAGCCCACACAGCAGCTGGTGGGTTTGTTAAGAAACGTGGCGAGTGGGCTGGCTTATCTGCACGATCAGAGGATTGTGCACCGGGACTTAAAGCCCCACAATGTGCTCATCTCGCTGCTGCTGCCCAGCCGGCATCGGCAGCGCGGGCAGTCACAGGGCAGGGCGAGTGCAGGAAGGGTTAGTGGGGGTAAGGGTGGGTCAGCGGCGGGTGAGGAGTTTGGGTCTCCTGCTGTGCTTTCGACTTCAGGGGGAGATGCAGGGGCAGGAGGGCCAGCAGCAGGATCAACATCAGGATTAGCAGCAGCAGGGTCGTCAGCAACACCAGCAGCAACGCCAGACACTGCAGCTTCCACCCTCACAGCTACAGCTGCAGCCGCCGCAGCATCAGCTGCCTCTGCCTCTGCCGCAGCAGCAGCCCTGGCTCGGACCATACCTCTCCTGGAGGTCCGGATGCGGGGAAAACTCTCAGACATGGGGATCAGCAAGAGGCTCGGCGACGGAGCAAGCTCGTTCGACACGATGACAGCAGGTTCGGGCAGCAGTGGGTGGCAGGCACCGGAGCAGCTGGAGGACGGGTCTCGGCTGACGAAAGCGGTGGACATGTTTTCGTTTGGGTGCCTGGTGTTCTTCTGTGTGAGCGGCGGCAGCCACCCGTTTGGCGAGTGGTTTGAGCGCGATGCGAATGTGGTGGCAGGGAGGGCGGATCTGTTCCCCATCGACCACGTGCCTGAGGCCCTGGACCTTGTTGCGGCATTGCTGGACAGAGATCCTGAAAAGAGGTGCGTGAAGGGTAGAGTAGGAGGTTTTCCTTTCTATCAATGTCTCAAGAGGCACCAAGTTGTGACGTTCAGGGCAGATCTGTTCCCCATCGACCACGTGCCTGAGGCTCTGGATGTTGTGGCTGCTTTGCTTGACAGAGACTCTGAGAAGAGGTGATGGGTGGAATGGGGAGGGAAGTGTGCTATTTTCTGGGCATTTCATGTTGAGGCGCCTGTCTCTGAGGGGTCAAGTTTCCTTGTTGCCTAAGAAAAAAGTCGTACCTGAGACTTGAGAAGTGTTGTGCTCTGTATGTAATGGTGAGAGAAGGCTTCGAGGTCAAAAAGGGCTTGCTGTGCCAGATTGTGTCAGTGATGACTTGCTGTAAGCGCTTGATAGCACAAGTCAATCCCCTAATCCCACCACTCCCTCCCACCGTCCATGCCAGGCCCCCAGCGCACGAGGTGCAGAGGCAGCGGTACCCCTTCTCCTGATGGGCGTTGCCTTCCGAAATCCTCAAGAGCCCTCCCTTTTCCTCCCCCCTCTCCCACCGTCCATCCCAGGCCCCCGGCACACGCGGTGCAGAGGCACCCGTTCTTCTGGTCAGCAGAGCAGCGGCTGGCCTTCCTGCGAGACGCCAGTGACCGCGTGGAGGGGGAGGACCGCGAGGCCCACTCGCCTCTCCTCAATGCCCTAGAGGCTGTAGCGCCAAGGGCCATAGCTCGCAAGGGGGGGATTAGTAAAGCGCCTGGGGAGAAGGGCGGTGGGTGGAACGAGCGTGTGGACGCGGCGCTGCTGGGGAATCTGGGGAAGTACAGGCGGTATAACTTTCACAGTGTGCGGGACCTGCTAAGGGTGATTCGGAACAAGTGCAATCATTACCGGGAACTGCCGCCCGAGCTGCAGGTGAGGATAGGAGAAATGATACGCGTGCCTGACAGTTTTCGTTCCGCTCTTTATGCAGATCAAGCCTTTTCACTTTCTCCTTTCCTGTCTCATATTCTTACTCTCTATTTCCATGCAGGAGCTCTTGGGTCCTCTTCCTGATGGATTTGAGAGGTACTTCAGAGATCGGTTCCCGCACTTGCTACTGGAGGTCTACCATGTGTTGTTGCAGCACTGCGCCCATGACCCCATTTTCACAAAATACTTCTCTCCAATAATTCCCTAATAAGACGATAAGGGGCTAACATTATTGCACACCCATGTACCTTGTGTGTGCAAGGTCAGCAGCGCTCCTTGCCAGCTTGGTTTGCAGTACTGCAGGCAAAGCTCTATTGACTGTCAAGTTCGTACATTCAGCGAGGCATATTATAATGGAGCACCTCTTGTTTATGATGCCACGTTCCTCGTTATGGTCCGCTCTCCTCCGCACAACAGGTGTGTTTCGCATAGGGCGTGGACTGGCAGTCGCAACTGATTTCGTCACCAGTAGGCCCTACACGAACCCGTAATATGTTCGTTTAAATTTACGGAGTAACCCGCTTCAAATGTACAGCCATTGTTGGTAACGATGAATTCATTCTCAACATCCCTTGTTGCAAGCCACCAAGCTCGGCCAGTCACTTTCTTGAACCTGCCATGGCAGCAGCACTTGCCTCGCCCCTCGCGTCTCGCATCGTAGCTATCAGCCGAGCACGCTGTCTATCCAACGGTGCCACCGCATTCAACGGCGTGCGACAAGCGATCTTGTGAGCCTTCTTTGACCGATTTCCCCTCACTGGCTCTTAGAGGTGCCTTTTTTGCATTTAGTGAGAAAATATAAATTACTTGACATTTTCCTTTCCGATTTACCCTTACACGCGCTGACGAGACTAATATTCCCTTTTTCTTCTACTTCCAGGAGAAATTCTTCGTCCCTTCAGCGCGGTAGCCCCGCCTCGTCGTCTCTCCCCGTTTCCCGACGGGCGTCTCGATCGCGAGTGGTCATGGCGTCAGCGGCAACGACGAGCAGCGAGGAGCTGTCGGAGTTCGTGGCTCGCGACAACCGTCGCATGCTGCACGTCGTCTACCGCGTGGGCGACCTGGACGCCGCTATCAAGTGCGTCGCTCAGTCGTTCACCGTCGCACGGGCCTAGGACAGCGTCGCCGAGATTGCGTGCGGCGTTCATGGGATCTTGAATTCATGAGATTTTGAATTCATGGGATCTTGAATTCATGGGATCTTGAATTCATGGGATCTTGAATTCATGGGATCTTGAATTCATGGGATCTTGAATTCATGGGATCTTGAATTCATGGGATCTTGAATTCATGGGATCTTGAATTCATGGGATCTTGAATTCATGGGATCTTGAATTCATGGGATCTTGAATTCATGGGATCTTGAATTCATGAGCTCGTGAACCACACTGTTTGGCTGGCGCTCGTTGTCTCGATGGTGTTGCGTGCCATGCTGAATCTACCCGTACCCGCAATGCTCGTGCCTCATGCTGTGACAACGGCACCTGCGTGCCATGCTTACTGCTTGCCGCGCTTTGCCTGACCGGGTGCCGTACTGACCTAAGTTGATGAGAAGTTGTACTTCTCCTCCTCATCGCCCTCTCACATCCCTCTCACCCCCCTGCTCTTTGGCTGGGTGATGTGTGTGCCGTGACTGATCTCCGACGGCCTGCAGGTTCTACACGGAGTGTCTGGGCATGAAGCTGCTGAGGCAGCGCGACATTCCCGAGGAGAAGTATTCCAACGCCTTCCTCGGCTACGGACCTGAAACCTCCACCTTCGTTGTGGAGCTCACCTATAGTGAGTAGCGACTAATAACGAGTATGGGCTCACCTCTGGCAGCACGACATTCCCGAGGAGAAGTACTCCAACGCCTTCCTCGGGTACGGCCCCGAAACCTCCACGTTCGTTGTGGAGCTCACCTATAGTGAGTAACGAGGTCACCTACAGTGTGTACGGAGCTCACCTATAGTGAGTAACGAGGTCACCTACAGTGTGTACGGAGCTCACCTATAGTGAGTAACGAGGTCACCTACAGTGTGTACGGAGCTCACCTATAGTGAGTAGCGAGGTCACCTACAGTGTGTACGGAGCTCACCTATAGTGAGTAACGAGGTCACCTACAGTGTGTACGGAGCTCACCTATCGTGAGTAACGAGGTCACCTACAGTGTGTACGGAGCTCACCTATAGTGAGTAACGAGGTCACCTACAGTGTGTACGGAGCTCACCTATAGTGAGTAGCGAGGTCACCTACGGTGTGTACGGAGCTCACCTATAGTGAGTAGCGAGGTCACCTACAGTGTGTACGGAGCTCACCTATAGTGAGTAGCGAGGTCACCTACAGTGTGTACGGAGCTCACCTATAGTGAGTAGCGAGGTCACCTACAGTGTGTACGGAGCTCACCTGCGGTGAGAAGCAAACCTGTTGGCAACCGCTCTCTTTCTTCACAGCCAATGGTTGGCTTGGACGGTCGCTGAGGCTTGGGTCCCTTTGATGGCCTGCAATATGCTTGCTTTGATACCCGTTCTTGTCACGCCCTGCTGCTGTGCCGGTGTTGTGATATGCGCTCCAAACAACTTCCCTCCACCTCCACTCCACCCTTGCCCTGCTATCCTGCTGCCCCGTTCCGTACATTTCCCCTGCCCTGTTGCCCTGCTGCTGCCATCTTCTGCTGGCAGATTACGGGGTGGATTCGTACGACATTGGAGCGGGCTTTGGGCATTTCGGCATCGCTGTTGAGGATGTGAGTGCCACGTGTCATGCTTATGTGAGCCACGTGCCATGCTGATGAGAGCCACGTGCCATGCTGCTGTGAGCCACGTGCCATGCTGCTTTGAGTGCCACGTACCATGCTGCTGTGAGGATGTGAGCCACGTGCCAAGCTACTGTGAGCCACGCAGTTTGTGACAACCAATCACTAAGTTGAGCATACCCACAACATTTCAGGTTTTGTCAGCGCACTGGGGATGGCTGTCAGCAATGCAGCCAGCGCACTGGCCGGGCTTTGATTCAGAGGTTTGCCTCTCCCCTGTGCAGGTGTACAAGACGGTGGAGCTGGTGAAATCGCGGGGTGGCAAGGTGACGCGCGAGGCTGGCCCTGTGAAGGGCGGACAGAGCGTCATCGCTTTCGTTGAGGTCTGCTCCACCCTGCTGTGATCGCCTGATGCCATGATGCTGCCGTGCTGCCATGCTGCCATGCTGCCATGCTGTCGTGCTCTCATGGCATGAATAGCGTGATGATGTGAGGGCGTGATGGCATGATGGCTTGATTGGCATGGTGGTGTGATTTCGCGATGCTGTCATTTGAGGTGTGACTGATGTGTCATTTCCTTTCTATCCTCACAACTGAATCTTCTCCGTGTTCCTCACATGTGCCTCCCCTGCGGATTCTCCACTGCCCTCTGTCCCATCCCCTCCTCTTCCTTCTCCTCATCAATCTCCCAAACCACAGGACCCGGCTGGGTACAAGTGGGAGATTATCCAACGGCCACCTACTCCCGAGCCACTGTGCCAGGTTCGGATGCCTGCCTGCCACATGAAGCATCTCACTATGGCCCCACTCAGACTTGCTGGGTTCATCATGCTTTATGTGTCAGCTATCCATTTTGCTCCATTCCATGTCATCATGCCACCATCCCTCCCTGTGTCCTTGCCTCCATGGCGATGGCCCCGTGCAGGTTATGCTGCGAGTGGGAGATCTCGACAGAGCAATCAAGTTCTACGAGAAGGTGCTCGTCCCATCAGGATGCGTCACCCACCTGCCTTCCCATCACATCCTCCCATGCATGCCATCCCTCCCATGCTCGCCGTTAAAGCTTCCTCTCTTTCTGCTCTTAATCACAAATCAGCCCCCTCTCACTCTCCGTGCACATCAATCACGCCCATGCCTGCTTGCAGGCGTATGGCATGAAGCTGCTAAGGACAAGGGACAACCCACAGTACAAGGTATCCACACACAATCTCCTTCCCCACCTGCTGCTCCAATCAGGCCAATTAATTCCCCTTGCAACAATCAAACCTTCTTTCACGCATGCTGCATCTTCCCTTCCCTATGCTGCACTTCCCTCTCCTCCACTGTGCCTCATTCACCTCTCCTCCCACTGACACCCCCCGTTGTTGCTCTGTCAACCCATGCCCGTTGTGCGGCCCCCCCAGTACACGATAGCCATGGTGGGGTATGGCCCTGAGGCGGAGAGTGCAGTGGTGGAGCTCACATACAATCTCTCCCCACTCGCCTCTCCACAACCACCCACTCACACTGCCGTGTTCCCATCTTTGCTGTGCCTCCTCCCTTCTTCTCCCAGTACACAATCGCCATGGTGGGGTATGGGCCCGAGGCGGAGAGTGCAGTGGTGGAGCTCACATACAACTATGGGGTCGAGTCCTATGAGAAGGGCAATGCCTATGCGCAGGTACTTCTCAGAGCGACCATCTGCTTACTCATTGCTGTGTTGCCTGAGTGCCGTTTTCCAGGTGTGTTCTAGATGGTGCTTTTTTTCTGTTGTACCTTTGCTGCTACATTTTGCTGTTGTCATCCCTTTCCCTTTCCCACTTTCTTCCGGATCTATCACGCTCACGGTAGCATGTCTTTCACTTAATGTGCCGTCCTCTTACCTACCATACATATTATCCATCCCCATTTATCCCTGCCGTCCGCAATGCTCTCCTGCTATCTTCCAGATTGCGATAGGAACGGACGACGTGTATAAGACAGCAGAGGCCATTCGGGCGGCGGGTGGAACCATCACTCGCGAGCCGGGCCCCATCCCCGGCATCAACACCAAAATCGTGGCGTGCCTCGACCCCGATGGGTACAAAACGGTGAGGATGGGTGCCGCAGTTGGGCTAGCGTGCAGCGAAGTTTTGGGGGGTTATCAGCTACTCACCTATATGGGTGCTGTTACATTGCTTGCAGGTGTTTGTCGACAACCAGGACTTCCTTCGCGAGCTGGAGTGAAAACAGCATTGCTGCCATATGCAGCAAAGCCTAGAAAACACAAGATGTGCATAAGGTTGATAAGTTCCGTAGAATAGGAATGCGCTGTCCAGTAGGTGCTTTGTGGAAAGGTAATCAACAAGCATTCAAACACCTAATGAGGAATTTCGCCTCTACCTCAGGCTTTATGACTGGTAACCCTTCGCCACTGGCTTGGGCCGAATTCACCGGCTCCCACAATCTCACATTCCGGCTCTCACAATCTCACACCGCCTTCGAATGGGCAAATCTCTCTAGCTGGAATGGGCAAATTCAATCGTAACACCTAAACACTCACCATGCCTCGTTTCGCGCCACGTCACCAGTCTCTGGCAGTCGACTCACCAACGGGTACGGCGAAAGGGGATGGAAGCAGCGCTGAATTGTTTCCGTGTCCCCTGTGACATCGGAGGGAGATTCGAATGCGACGAGGGGGAACATGACGCCGCGTGCGCGACGGCATGGCGGCACAACGGCTGGCGCGAGACGCAAAATCCGGGAGCATCCAACGCAGACCTCGCCTGATTCTCCAACGTCTGGATTTTGATATTTCTATCCAGTAGTTCGAGGAACAGGGCATGGCGGAGGAAGGACGACGAAGCGGCGGCGAGGGAGGCGGCGGCGGGGGAGTTGGCGGAGGAGGAGGGGCGCATGACCGGCAGGCGGAGGCGGAGGCGGAAGCGGAGGCGGATCCCGAGGCGTGCGAGCGGCCGTTCGAGCAGCGGCAGTCGTGGCTGCACCGGCGCGGCAAGGGCGAGTGGAACTCGGGGCTAAAAGACTTCCCGCGGGATCCCCGCGCCGCCGCGCTCGGCTGCTGCGCGCCGTGCTACCTCTACGCGCAAACGGCGCGCAAGATCACCGACGGGCGCGTGCAATTCTCGAGGTAACTCGCATCGAGAGCACGCGCCCTCCCTCGTCCCCTCGTCCCCTCGCCTCCCGGACGCGCAAGATCACCGACGGGCGCGTGCAGTTCTCCAGGCGAGTCGCCCTCCTCCTCCTCCTCCTCCTCCTCCTCCTCCTCCTCCTCCTCCTCCTCCTCCTCCTCCTCCTCCTCCTCCTCCTCCTCCTCCTCCTCCTCCCTCCTCCTCCTCCTCTCCTCCTCCTCCTCCTCCTCCTCCTCCTCCTCCTCACTACACGGGCGCCTGAATATCTTGACACCTCCTTGGCTGTCCGTTTCAAATCAATGAACGCGCCACAAAGAATCGGGTCCGCGCTGTTCCCGTCCGCCGTGCTGAGTCGTGCTACGCCGGGTCCATGCTCGCCTCTCCCCTCCCTTCGTGCACAGGGCATTCGCCACGTACTGCTTGTTAGGAGGTTGCTGGGGCGCGCCTCTCTCCCTACTCCTCGGTCCCTTCGCCTACTGGTTCACGTGTGTGCCGTGCTACGCCTCTTCTATGCGCCGGCAGCTCCGCCACAAGAAGGGGCTTAGGGAACGACCCATGGATGACTTTGCCGCCCACTGCTGCTGCCACCCCTGCGCGCTTTGTCAGGTAGTGCTGCTACCACCCGTGACTTCTTTGTCCCATCTGCCTGTGTGCCTACATGCCTGCATTATTATGTGCCCTCTATCTGTCATGCCCATCATATCCATCACCCCATGCGTGCATGTCACACCCACCAACCAACCCTGATGCACATGCAGGAGTACAGGGAGAGCCGTGAGTTTGACCTGGAGCTGCTGGGAGGGCCCTCGCACACGTGTGCATTTATTATCATGTCTCTAAATACTTACCGATATGTGCCCACCTGTGATGATACACATGCAGGAGAACAGGGAGAGCCGTGAGTTTGACTTGGAGCTGGTGGCTGGGCCCACACACCCATGTGCATATGAACTCATGTGCTCTTTATGTGGCATGCCCGCCATGCCCATGACCCATGTGTGCATGCCACACCCACACACAGGAGTACAGGGAGAGCCGTGAGTTTGACCTGGAGTTGGTGGCGGGGCCAACGCACCCCACGGTGGACCGACCACCACCTGAAACCGCAAGGCACCTGGAGCACCTGCAGGAGACACAGCAGATGGAGCGGTGATGCACGTGGGGTGCAGAGCAAATGGCACCACCTTTGGAGGTGTTACCTTGGTTGATGCATGTGGGCTTTTTTAGGCACCTCACCCAAGGTGGTGCAATGTAGACACCACAAAGACAGCCGGTTCAGGATAAGGTTCGAACCAAAGCAAGTGACTCTCAGTCTGAAGTGAGTGGAAGATGCAGCATATAGCAGAGGCGCAGCAGGCGGATACCTGACTGCTGTTACCGTAAGGGTAGTAGGTGACCAGGCTTGTTCAGACTCCATAATGGAGGGTCAGTGTCACTGTATAGTTATCTAGCGTAACCATATTCCTTTTTCCAGGCTGAGATTGACCGTAACATCACACTATGTGGTGAGTTGTGACCCGACAGTGGTAGATGTGAAATTCTGGTCGCTGAATGCGCGCAAAAGCTCTGCAGACTGTTTTCATAGCCTAGAGACCTATACCGCACAAGTGTGACAATAATGAATACAATAGCTCTGAGCTGGTTGTTGCTGGAATAACAGCCACCATGACCATGCATTCTCTACATCTCCTCAATCAGCTGCTTGATGGATGCGATGGGTAGCAAGCCCTCGGTGCGGACAGCAAGCTTTGACTTATCCTTGCTCACAAACACAACTGTGGGCAGCCCACGGATCTGGATATGGTGAGGGATAGTGTGGGAGGATCAGGCATGGGAGGGCGGGATAGCATGCGTGATGGAGAGGAGGCTTGAGGGTTTGTGATTGAAGTACGGAGCGAGGAAAGGCCATGGGACGGGTGTGCATGTGTGCGAATGCTTGAGGGAGTGAGCGTTTGATTGAGCGAGAGTGCGGGTGTGCAGGTGTGCGAATGTGCTAGTGAGCGAGTGTGTGAGTGCAAGGGCAGACAGCACACCTTGAGCTGGTTAACGAGCTCGTATTCCTCGTCCGTGTGTGCGCGCGTGCACATGCGAACGGCATGTATGCAGATGGGCATGCGAGTGCAAGTGGGCATGCGAGTGCAAGTGGTAGGGCATGGGCATGTTGGAACGCACCTCAAGCTGGTTGGCGAGTTCATACTCCTCATCCGTGTCCACCTTGAGAAACAGCACCTGCCCATGATACTCCACTGCTAGCTGCACAAGAGGCATGGGGGCATGGGGGTATGGGGTATGGGGGGATGAGGACATGGGGAGCTAGGGGCATGAGGGGTATGAGAATCAGCACCTCTGCAAGAGGAGCATGGCAGCATGGCGGCATGGGGGGCCCATGGAGGGCATGGAGGGCATGGGTGGCATAGAGCATGAGAACATGGGGTATGGTAGCATGGGGGCACGAGAGGTATGAGGGCATGGGAGCATGGGGCCATGGAGGGTATGAGGGCATGGGAAGATGGAGGCATGAGGGGTATGGGGGTATGGGAGCATGGGGGCATGAGAGGGTTGTTGGTATGGGGGGATGGGGGTATGGGGATATGGGGGCCATGAGTCGGGTCAAGCGGCGCACCTGTTCGAGTTCCTGTGCGAGGAGCATGCAGGGGCCGCACGTACAAGTCGGAGATTTCAAACCCGCTGGCCAAGAACCCCCAAATTGGTCTCAACCTTTTCAGCTTCGGTTAAGCGTGACCCCAGCACCCAAAACTCTGGCCAATCGTGTCGCTCGGCCCAACCAACCATCCTATCGTCTCAAAACAAGCGGCGCACCTGTTCGAGCTCCTGCCCGAGCAGGATGCAGGGGCCGCACCACGTGGCGTACAAGTCGCAGGGTGTGTTTGAGAATCCTCATAAAACTCATCGAGCGGCGCGCTCACCTGCTCGAGCTCTTGTGCGAGCAGGATGCAGGGGCCGCACCACGTGGCGTAGAAGTCGATCACCATTGGCAGCGGCCGATCGCCCGACAGCAACTCGTCCAGCTCCTTCCCGTTCACCTTGCGCTGCCGCCGTGGGCCGGGAGGGGAGGGGGAGAGGGTGTGGGAGGTTGCGGGGGGAGAAGGGAGAGGGAGCGGGACGGAAGGGGGAGGGGGTTGAGGCGCCTATAATCCCGACAGCAACTCGTCCAGCTCCTTCCCGTTCACCTTGCGCTGCCGCCGTGGGCCGGGAGGGGAGGGGGAGAGGGTGTGGGAGGTTGCGGGGGGAGAAGGGAGAGGGAGCGGGACGGAAGGGGGAGGGGGTTGAGGCGCCTATAATCCCGACAGCAACTCGTCCAGCTCCTTCCCGTTCACCTTGCGCTGCCGCCGTGGGCCGGGAGGGGAGGGGGAGAGGGTGTGGGAGGTTGCGGGGGGAGAAGGGAGAGGGAGCGGGACGGAAGGGGGAGGGGGTTGAGGCGCCTATAATCCCGACAGCAACTCGTCCAGCTCCTTCCCGTTCACCTTGCGCTGCCCGCGGTGGAAGGTGGGAGAGGAGAGGGGGGAAGGGGAAGGGGAGGGGAGGGATGGGG